CACTGTGGAGCTTTGTTTTGTTATTAAAACATGTGAATATCTGACAGCAAGCAGTTCTGCTATCTGTTGCAATCCAACCGTGCCATCGTTAATGTAACTGCGGGTGCCAAACCGACCCAGGTGGCGAGCCAACAGTCAGACAAACACAGGGCTCTCCAACCAGCGATTACTTGTTGGCATTTTCGGTTGATGTTTCGTTTACTTGCGGATTTTAAGTCATCTGAGCCGCCGTCAGCCCCCTACCTTGACGACGCACTCCCGCTGGTGCGCGTACGAGTCGAGCAGCGGAGACCGGAGCGCCGCGTTGACGTGGACGGCCGAGCCCATCATGTGGAACACCACGTGGATGCTGTGCTCTGGGGCCTCTAGCAGCCGTAGGCGCCCTTGTGACGCAATGGTCGGGATCTGTATAAACACTCGCAGTTAGTACGGATTATAGTAGCGCACTTACTACACGTATCATAGACATATTTATCCTAGAGATAGACACTTTAGTTCACTGTTTCCCTACAACGCTGTCTTTTGACATCACTTCACTGAGGTAATATAATGGATCCCCTCTCCGAATTCTTCATGTCTGACCCTGAATATTGTTTCATTTATAACATCTTCAAAGTCTAAAATGATATGCTCTTGGTACATCTTGATATTGGCGTAGCACAAACGTGTATTATCATTTACTGTGACACCTATGTGATAACATTACGTGGTAACCGTACGTAATTTTCATGAACCCTGCCAGCCTCTAGGCATTTCGTGAGCACTGAAGTCGAAGCTCCAGCATTGTGCAGCATCACGGGAAAGTCGATGGATTTACAGCATTTCTCTACTTATTCATCTATGTCGATGATAATAAACCTTTTTTTTTGCTTACTAAGCCTATCTGCAGAGGTCTATGTGGATAGATATATCAAGCGCTGAATACTGACAAGATAACAGCGAGAGATGAATGATGAATTTGAGTATTTCACCAGAATTATAGCGTCAAACTGAAGCATCGTCAGTTAGAAAATGAGAAAGTGGCTCAGTTCCATTCAGCAGATGATGTATTGACTCTTAATTCCTTTTTTTTTCTTTTTCTTTTTTTTTTTTTTTGAAATGACATCTTCCTACATTTCGTTATGGCAATTTACAGGACATGCTGGAAACGTGATGCTTTGTACAGTGCCGTGAATAAAACATTTATAGAACAATACTGACAAAGGCAGAGTAAGAATTAGAGGAATGTTTATAGAAACGCCTCACATTGACTAAACAGACCTGGTGCGTATATACTGTGTGGTGTGAGTATACTACGCATCTTCATACTGACGCATTTTATAATTAAAGAGTAATAATGTAAACAATAATAATGTAAAATAATGTAATAATGTAAAAAGTATAATAATGTAAACAGAGAAGGTAAGAGTAATAAATAATAAACATGAATAATCCCAGACACAGTTATTAAAAGTAATATGACCGTTTTATTAATGTCTATCAGTTTACACTAATATTTGGGAATAACTAATTAGATTCTTATATCACTATTATTATCGTCAAATCAGCGGTTTCATAATCAAAATTAGTGTCATGATAACCAGCAGTTTTCTTTGTTTCTCAATGATGATAACAAAGAATAAAATCTATAACACCAACAGTGTCTATGAAGTATTCTTCTCATTATCATTAGTATCATTATTATCATCATTACTATTATCATTATTATCATTATTATTGTATTACTATCATATTATTGTCATTATTACTATAATCATTATCATTACCATCATCATCATTAAAATTATTATCAGCATTATTAATATCATCATTATTACTACCATAGTCAATGATATTATCATTATCATTGTTATTATTATAATAACTATCATTACTTTTATTATTATTATCATTATCATTATTATTAATACTATGAACATTATTATCACCATCATTATCATTTTTTATGGTATAATTATATCATTATTATCATTTTGTTACCATCATTATCATATATCATTATTATTATCTTACTATATCATTTATTATTTTATTATCATTATCATTGTATTGTTATTACTGTTATCATTCTCATTATAATTATCATCAGTAGTAGTAGTATTTCGATTATCGTTGTTATTATTATTGTTATTAAATTATTTGCATTTATTATCATAATCATTATTATTATTATCATTATTTATCATCGTTATTTATATTATTATATTATCTTATTAATTATTATTATTATTATTATTATTATTACATTATCATTATTATTATTATTATCATTATCATTATTATTATTATATTATTATATATTATATTATTATTATTATTATTATCATTATTATTATTATCATTATTATTATTATTATTATTATTATTATTATTATTATTATTATTATTATTATTATTATTATTATATTATATATTATTATTTATTATTATCATTATCATTATCATCATTGTTATTATCATCATTATGTTATATTATATTATTATTATTATTATTATTATT